GTCTCCCAAATACGCTGCTCCATTGGCGCTCAAAGTTGGTAGTTCGGTGGTCGAGGCTACATTGGAGGTCGTTCTAGATGTGTTCAAGGACCAGATCTTCACGAGGAAAGAATTCCCTGGACTCGGTTTGTTCATGAAAACACCACCTGGCTTCCAAGAACACCAAGCTTATTTTGAGTCATACATCCTTCGACAGACGCTTTCGTCCGTGAAGAATGCGCTTCAGTTTGACCAGCAGCTACTGCACGAACCGCGTGTGCTCACCAATTTGGCGCGCTTCGTGACTCATGTGTCCGAAGCGGTCTTCGAGGGCTGGTTTCTCGATGGTGCGGAGCCCTTGCTCGACTTTTCTGGGTTCCTCCTGGAATACTTGGAACGACCAGACATTGCGACAATCAAGTCTGTCAGACTCTGCACACAAGCTATCCAATCAATTCGCAACACCTTCTTGAGAGTCGCTCTACTCCGCTTGGCAGAATCAGATGAGACTGAAGGCGGAGAGACTACAACAGCAGTGATCGAGAAGATGATGTACTGGCAACCTATTATCCTCTCTTCTGTCAATAACGAAACGTTTTCGCTAAAGATGATCTGCTACCTTCTTTACACTCAGTTGTCATCTGAACACACGGCTGTGCGTCTTGCAGCTGCGAATTTCTGGCGATCTCTCATGGTGCAAAAGCCTCACGAGACATCCATGATATTGGCTGATGCCATTCATGGAGACACAAAGGACCTCTACGATGGCTTTCAAAAGCTGGTCGAGCTAGACAACGAAACGTTCCTCGAATGGCTTGACAAGAACAAGACAGAGATGGACAAGTTCTTCTATGGCTCCATGACCAAATCATGGGAAGACTTTGCCCACAGCCAGAACAAGAAGACCGAAGAGACATCTCAAAGGCGCATCGCAAAGCGCAAGGAAAAGTTGAAGCAATGGCAATCTGATGAACTTGCTGCTGACAACGTCTGGAATCACCACGAGAACTCGACAAACCACTGGAGATCCAATATACATGCTTCTGAACGTATCAAGCATCAGCGCGTCTTACAAGACCAGCAGGATAACGCTACCTACATGGCGACTGTACTGGCGAAGCTCGATCACCAACTCAAAGGCCCATGCGGCTTGTTCGAAGAGAGCCCACCTGCCAGATGGCGGCTTGACGAAACCGAAGGTCGTGATCGAAAGCGTCTGCGTATCATCGTCGACAATACTACCAGAGAGCAATCCTACCAACCCAAACGGAAAGACACAGACCCACGAGAGAGGCCAAGACTAGACACTACAGTGCCAGCAATCTCGGCGAAAGAAGCTGTTGGCGTTACACCCGTCAAAGGACGATCAGCTAGATCTTCCTCCGCTGTAAGCGGCGCATCGGGTGATCCCACAGAGGAACCGGAGTCTGCCAGCGACGATGACTTCGAGATGGTCGAGGCCATGTACGAGGATGAGGATGGCTTCGAAGACAAGAACCGTAAAGTCATGCGCAGTCTGAACCGCGGCGACCAGGTGCAGTATGTGTGCAACATTTCACGGGTAGTTGGACTGGAAGCGATAGAGGGCCTTCTCATTGTAGGAAAAGACTGTCTCTACTTGCTGGACGATTTCTTCCAGCGGTCTGACGGTGAGATTGTACGCGTATGGCAGGCGCCGCCCGACGAGCGCGACCCTTACGTGCAAGTCATTGCTGGAAAAGAGGCTGTTACCACTCGTCGACCACCACCAAGGAGCCAGGAAGATGCAGTGAGGAACTGGAAGTGGACTGAGGTCATCAGTATCTCGAAGCGACGCTTCCTGCACCGTGATGTCGGAATCGAGATATTCTTCGACGATGGCCGTAGCTATCTTCTAACCGCTGTCTCTGCCCAGGCGCGTAACGACATACACTCCAGAGTACTACAACGAGCTTCTCATGTCGCGAACCCGGAGAAGTTCGCCAATTCCGAAATCTCTTGGCGCCTTGACTCCTTGCGCAACCCGGAAGAAGCACCGCAGACTTTTGGGTCACGTTTTGCATCAGCTTTCGGCTCTGCTTCCGCTCATCCAGCGACTAAGAAGTGGCTGAAAGGAGATATGTCCAACTTCCATTATCTCATGTTTGTCAATACGCTTGCCGGCAGGACGTTCAACGACCTCACACAATACCCAGTCTTCCCCTGGGTGTTGTCAAATTATCATAGTGAAGAGCTGGACCTCAGCGACCCAAGCAACTTCCGAGATCTCCGGAAACCTATCGGTATCCAAGACCCGAAGCAAGAGCACCTAATCAGAGAAAGATTCAGTTCCTTTGCCGAGATGGGAGATGCTAGTCATGCCTTCCACTATGGCACCCATTACTCGTCTGCCATGACTGTGGCATCGTATCTCATGCGCCTTCAACCGTTCAGTGCTGCTTTCTTCCTCATTCAGGGCGGTACGTGGGATCATGCTGACCGTATGTTCTACTCGATCCAGAATGTTTGGGAGTCGGTATCAGCAAAGAACATGGCCGATGTACGCGAGCTTACGCCAGAGTTCTACTTCCTCCCTGATTTCCTGACCAATGTCAATGGGTACAACTTCGGTCTGCGATCCGACGGCTCGACTATCGACAATGTCAAGTTACCTCCGTGGGCCAAGGGCGACCCGGCCATTTTCATCGCCAAACAACGCGAGGCATTGGAGAGCCCTTATGTTAGCCAAAACCTGCATCACTGGATCGATTTGATCTTCGGTTACAAGCAGCGAGGCGAAGCAGCGATTGAGGCCGCCAACGTCTTCCACTACATGACGTACCAAGGTGCAATCGATCTCGATACTATTGTGGATGAGAAGGAGCGTGCGCAAAAGATTAGTGTTATCAACAACTTCGGACAGACGCCTCCACAGGTCTTCCAACGACCACATCCGCAGAAGGAGAACATCACAAGACCTACTAAGCTCGATACGGCCGCCGAGAGCTTGCATCGCGTACCCGGCACGTTACTTGAGTCAAATGATCGCATCTCATCCCTCAACTACATCAGCAAGAGCGACAAGCTCCTATGCTCTGCACCATTCCGGCATAACATCCCTCCGCACCATGATCGTTACATGGAGTGGGGTTTCACAGATGGCAGCGTGCGCTTCTACGACTCACACTCCAAAAAGCTCATTGGACTATTCGAGCATCTGCACTCCGGCCAGCTAACAACCTCCCTATTCGTCGACGGCAGCACGCTTATCACAGCCGGAACCGATTGCACTCTGGCGATTTGGAATATGAATAAAGGCGACCGAGGTCACATCGACCTCCAAAACGCAACTACATTGTTCGGCCACAAATCCTCCGTCATCACACTGGCCGCAAGCCGTGCCTTCTCCGCTTTCCTATCTGCATCGCTCGATGGGCGTGTCTTCCTCTGGGATCTAAATCGCAATGAATTCGTCCGGGAACTGGATCTCGGTCAACGACAAAAACGTAACCCAGTGCCGATCCAAGCAGCCAGGATAAACAGCGTCACAGGCCACATTGTGCTCGCATGCGGCAGCCGACTTATCGTCACCACACTCAACGGCGCCGTGCTACTAGACGAGGACATTTGCGACAGCGAAGACGACGCAGATAGCATCACCGCCGTTGCCGTCTACGAAGGCACGGGCAACGAGTGGTGCGAACGCGAGCTCATCTTTACCGGCCACCGGAGAGGCGTCGTCAAGATTTTCCACCTTACGCCCACGCCACCGACTATTTACACGCCCCCCGGGTCAATGACGACGACGACGCCTAGCAAGTGGTCTTTGAACCTTGTCAATGTGCTTAATCATGGTGATCCGACGGTGCCGACGGCTGCGGCGCCGATTACGTGTATACTGCCCATGGCGAATCATGTTTATACTGGAGATGAGGAGGGGAGAGTTGTAAGTTATCTTTTTTTTGGTTTTTCTTTTAGTTCATGATGTAGGTGCTAATTTGATGGTGTAGTATGAATGGGATTGCGTGCATCGGCACCATTGATTGTAAACAGCACGTTGGGGTGAGGTTGCTGCGCTTTTCGACATGGGGAAATGGTGTTTTGGGCGCGGCTTTCTTCTTGCATTGGGGCAGATAGCTGGGTGTGTAGCATTGGTGGGGAGTGAATAGATATGGTTTTGGCGTTTCAGTCCTGTTTGTTTGGAGGTGGATGTGGTTGTGTGTCACTTCTTGTTCAGGTGTTCTGGTTAAAAAATGCAACAAGTGGATTATGAACGGCTCCAGGTCGCAAAAGACATCATCGGACTTGGAGCAAAAGTAAAAGGGAGGCAAAGACATACAAAAGTGGGGAACTGATAATGGTTACCCACCTAACTACTATCTCGCCGGTACACCGAGAAACCCTACCTTTAATTTTTCCATCACCGCAGAGACGGCTAAGTACTGACTTCGCATGCAAGTCACGACACACTAATTTTGGTAGTGTTATGCAAAGTTCAGGGTACCGTAAGCCAAACGTAGGCGGCCCTAGGCCACCCAATATTACTTAAGCTCAGGCATACAGTGCAGTATTACCCGCTCCCGTTAGCGGGTGGCGCAGATCGGTGCGATTTCTCAATCAAACTGCATGCTGTATGTTAGATAGGCTTTCCCTATCGCTACTATGGCCTCAACCTTACCTGGATACCCTTTGTTCGCAACAACATTAGAAAGTTTAACACATTTATACACCGCTTCGATACCGGCATAGCACGCTGGTTCCTTTGATGACCGCTCTCTCTCAATTACTGCGACGTGATTTCCAAACACGCTTCTGCGGGCGTTAACACAGTCAGAGCTATACCACAAAAGAAACGCTTATGACGGAGAAGCTTTTGTGACGTAACTAGAACTTGCAACAAGACGACCGAAGTCTTTTTAGGACTAGAAAGCGTGTGAAAAAGTAGGCGAAAAGTAGATCACGAACGGCCCGTGTCCTATGTAAGAAGGATTAAGGCGATGCCAAACTTGCAAGCGCGGGGCGATAATGTCCTAGTATTACTACAGTGGATTCAGCATCGGATACCGATCTCGAATGGACCTGCGCCATGACATGATCATCATGTCAATCACTGAGGCTGTGATACGAGCTCCGCTCAGTCCAACATAAATACCGGTCTCTCAAACTCCTCGACATACCATCTGAACAACATCTCATTACTATCGTTGCTGAGCTACCTGAACACAGCTTCTTTACCGAACACCTTCGAACTCAAATCTCTACTTCCCTCAATCATGCTTGCACCTACCTCGCTTCAGGCAGCACTACTCACATGCCTTGCTGCTACTACGCTTGCCGTGCCCACTAGGTAAGTTATTTTCGAACAAAAGAAAGACACTCCTAGTCCCAGCAACTGACCGATCTCCTACAGTCTTACCAATTCCGACCCTGCTGTTGCCGACCCCTTGGTAAAGCGAGACAGCTGGTGTATATCTTGGTACGAAGACGTCGGCTGTACGAGTCCCCTCGGCACGCAATGTGGCGGGGAGGACAGTGCGCCTCAGTCGTGCACTGCTATCGGGTTCAATGACGAGACGACGGTAAAATCGATCGATTGGCAGCCAGTTCCGGGATCTGTCCTGGCTCTATACGAAGGAGATCAATGCGCTTTGGGTTCTAATCTGGAGTTGTTCTCGGATCAAGACAATGGATGCCAGGCCGTTATATATGACGTGAAGTACTTCTCGGTTGGTAAAAATTAGATAGAACTATTTATTTACCTAGAGAGAAGTAGTTATGAGATTGAGCAGAGGCTCAATAGCGGGTAGGGGTAGATTGTATTCAACCACAAATTCTACTATGCAGAGTGCAGCTCAACCTGTATCTGTACTTATATATTCTTTGTGCAACGAAAACAGAGCTATATGTGACCAAGACAATCGGTGTCATGTTTTTCGGACGTGCTGATCAGTTCAGAAGAAGAGTGCTTCTAATAGCCATTACAGATGATGTTATTCGTGGCGTTGAACAACTCGCTTCGCTTTGGTGTAACACGGGGCTGCTGTAGAGCATGTACCACTTTCTAGTTGAAGTTAATCACGAACTAATATTATATTAGGTATTGTGTCGCTATTTCGAGTCCACTGAGAGCCGGCACTGTGAAGTTTCACATCGACAATGATGCAAATCGCTCAGATTCCGTGATCTTGGTCTCTCAATGTACCACCTAAGTTCGTCTTGTAATAATCGAATGAACAAGAGAACCAACTTTAAGCGTTCTATAGTCTTGTGTTCAAAATTGTAAGACGTTAGACTTTAGATGCAAGCAACACAATAGGGTAAGATTAGTGCGCTCTTCATTATAGAGAAGAGTGTTTTAAGCTCAGCTTTGTCCTTACATAAGGGTAGATATCTAGACTTTTAGCATTGCTGGGTACTTTATAGGGAATGAATAGATATGGATCGAAAAATTCAATATTTATTTCGTATGGTCTTTAGTATCGTGTTCTTAAATTGACCTGCGTTCAAACTATCGTGATGGCACCTCGTTTGCCGGAATTCCAAACAGAAGTATTAAACCATCCAACACGTTCGTATACAAGCGACGTAGAAGAGCTATCGGCCAAAGGCCTGAGAATAAGCCCCCAAGTGGATGTTCGTCCCACGGAAACATCTTCCTCATAGTAGGCGGTCGCAACGCATCGAGCAATTCCCATGTAGAGATCATTCCCATCTTGCTCTTGGTCGCTATCCATACCAAACCCATCGAGGATTTCGGGCTCACCACCCATACCAAAATCGTCAGTGATTTCTGCGAGAAGTTGTCTTCTTCTAGAAAGAAATGAAATGGGTGAGCTGAATGCTCCGTCCAAAACCAAGGCGCCGCCAGTGACGCTCGAGAAGGGCGCAGTTGGCGAAACAGGTGTGACAGTACAAGAGATGACTTCGACGATAGGCGTGTACCACTCGCAATGATCTGTTTGGAAAGTGACAGGACCGTCCAAAGCCATCCAGGACCATGAAGGAGCCCTAGATCTGGCTGGTCGCTTTGCGTTATAAACGTGCCAACTTAACTCCTGCAAGAGATGTCTGGCCCACAGGCCCGCAAGATACACATCATTCATGACTCCTTCAAAATACGCCGCTATTCCAGCTATCGCACTCAGTTTGTCTCCTTCATTCGTCATCAAGCGAGTCGAGTAGTCTTTCACTACATCTCTCCACAGTCGAAAGATGTACGGCTGTCTTTCTGCCAAGTGCGAAGGGTTGCTGAAAGAGCTTATGTTTGCTGAGTAGATGCTTAGCGATGGACGCACGATCTTACCGCCCGGTGCAAAGCGAATTGTTGTCAGTCCGGTAGATGCACAGTAGCCATTCCAATCTGTCCAGCGATAGAGTCTACGATCCATTTGCTCGCACTTCCATCCCACAGAGTCCTTCCCAAAAATCAACAATCGTCGCGATAAGATCATCTCTTGCAGCGTCCAGGCCCTTTCGTGTAGCGGTTCGTGCCTTAGGCTCTCGTATGTAGGCAGTAAAGCAAGGCTGCCAATTTTTCCATCACCACAACCAACCGGTATCTCCAGGGCTGGTGGTAGACCATCTCTGACCTGGAGGAAGCCTTCAGCTGAACTTGTGGAACAGGCAGCCACTATGGTGAAATAAGCGTTCTGATAGATCTTGGCCATTTTCGCTATTTCCCTTTGTTTGTCACGCTCCGAGTTCTGTACAATACACAAGGCATCGACCCAGAGAAACCTAATTCCCATAGCTTTGGTTGTTTTGATTGCATCTTGCAGTGTTTGCGGGAGGTTATCGTACGAGATCTTGCGCAAGTGCCGCAACAGATTCACATCCTTTGTGATGACTGGTTGCGAATAGCCCCAACAGTAGCTCAGTGCTGCATACTGCCCTGCTTCTCCTTCTCTAGGAATATACAATCTCAGCTTTTGCTCCTTGGCTGAGAACTTGGCGAGATCTATCAACCTCACGGGGAGCTCTGATTCGCGCCTCACACAATTGTCGTGCCAACAGTCGCATTCTTTAATCCATGAGCGTATTTGATCGAAGGTTCCCTTGTCCCCCCGATTTAACTTGGTAGTTGCATGTGGTAAGAACTGCGCTACATGATCGCCTACAAGTACTACGTTAGCTCCGAAGTGGTGTTTGGGACCGCGAACTTACCAAAATTTGTGGTCGCTTTGTACTGCAGAGTGCCTGCAAAGACGGTATCCGGAGCGCCAATCAGTAGATCATTTCCTGACAGACGCAATATGAAATGAACGACTCTTTCTTCTTATGGCTTATGCGAGACATTGTTGGCGCTCGAAAGTCGATCACGACGAGCTCGAGATCTCTCATCTGCCTGGTCCAAGAAATCTTTCAGAATCCTGCAAAGTCTGCAGCCAGCTTGAGCCTCGTTCATGAGAGTAGTCCATGGTTTTGCGTATACTAGCCCTTCCGACGAGAGTAGCAACGATATTGGACTCACGCCCGCGACATTTGTAGTAAGCAGATTCGTGCAGACAGGACCTATGTGAATTGGCACCGCCATTAGGATGAACGAACGTTCTTGGAACGCAGTGTGGTGCGGAGGTGTGCTGTGAATATCTGTTCAACTGCGGGTGCGCTGACAAGGCTGAGTCGGTTCGCGCAACTTCCATAGTAAGCTTTCGTTGGCTGCGAGATCATTGGCCAGTCGCCTAAGCATGCTGCTTACACTACGCGTGGTGGCTGCCAGCATAGTTCTCATCCTTTCCCACTCAGCCTTCCTCACGAAGTCTTGTCACGCAGCGCACATATACATGCCAAACGAATAAATCACTTCGAGAAGAAGTCACCATAAGTGCAGATCAAAGATCATGAACAAGCCTATGTGCCAGCATACGGAGCTGTGATGACGTCGCGATCTTTCTAGAGACGCTGCACACCGTTTTTCATCACCTATCAGAGCCAAAAGAGGCCTGCGCAAATGGCATAGATAACGAGGTAACAGTCTTTCCTCAAACTACAGGCGTTTATGCTGGGATACGGGTAACGAGACAAGGCCAGACGTCCTAGGCTGTCCGCTCTACAACACCATCCTTGTAAAGACGGTAAGAGTGGAAGGTGGTGTAAAGTTTATGGAGCGCATAGGTCTTGGGAGAACATACAAATATGCGTGGAGAGACGCAGGGGCAACAAAAGAAGTGGTTGTGTTAGAGTAACGCAAATGCTTGTTTGAACTTGGGCATGCAACTCTGCACGCTACAAATGTAAGCGTCTTCGAAGGAAGTGGCTATATATGGGAAGCTAGTTCGTAGGCTTGGAAAGACAGCTTTATTCGAGAGAAGAGAACGTGGGCAAACCCCTCTCAAGACCACCCTGTTGAGACTACCTATCTACATACTGAAGTTGCCCGATGTCCCTGCTATCGACTGGTACTCGGTGCAAAAGGACAAAAACATACAACAGCGGGGATTCGCTAGTGGTCACCCACCTAACTACTAATCCGCCGGTACACTGCTTGTATATGGCTGAGCGGACGGGAAGCCTAATTTTCAGTGTCCTATGGTCGTATGTGCAAGGAATTGAGCGGTTTGATCTTATAACCTGCATGATACATATCACAGTGGCAGGCAGCGACAAACATCAGGGCGTGTGTCGGTACTGTGATGTCGGTACACTAGCACAAGGTATCGTTTGTGTGGAGGTTTCCTTCATGCATACTGTTCGGGAGATACCTGTAGTAGCTCAGTATTAATGACAGTTGACGTGGTGAGCCGTGAATGAGATACGAAGTAAGGGTCCAGGACAGATAAGGCAGCAAGACGAAAGTAGGGGAATGTTTGCAGTTTTGAGATTAGCTCTTAAGCATGAAGTAGGGTATGTTGACTGGTAGTACTTATCACTGATCATGATCTGAGCGCTGATGTATACTAGTCTCATGACGATGCTTATCTGGCGGATGCTTGGCGATGCTTGTTTGCCTTGGGTGGGGATGCGTGTACGCGCATTACACTCTCTTGACGGGATGACTATACGTGGCGGTTGATCCTTGTCGCTAAAGAATGTTGCTGATGCATCTGTTGCTGGGTAGCTGCTTGATCAGGTGTACTTCGGTTAAGTCTGGACAATGCTTTGCGCTTTAGCTAACAATCGACGGGGATTGCTTGTGGTGGGGCCATTGGGCTACTATGACAGCGATTTGTAAGTTCTCTGAGAATCAATTCGTCCACTCTTCGACGTGATGTATTCCTTGAAGGCGAGATGTGAGGGTACGATGAAGGGATTGCTTTTGCAAGATTACAAGGTCCTTCGGTGCTGATCGGGTGTGGTGCCGGATCAGCGACGGCGCCAAGTGCTTGGTATTGTGCGAATATTATACTCCAGTTGAGCCGCAAACATGCAAAGGGTCGCGTGCAGCTATCTGGGCTGATAGAAATAACACCAGCCATGTTCTTCTTTAAGAACTGGCGTTGGTCGATTGCGGGGTTCAGGGAAAGGGTACACCAGGACTAGCCACCAAATCAGCTAGCTCATGGGGGAGGAGATCCGCACCTTTCCGGACGCAGCATGACCCCACTATTAGGCCGCGTGCTTTGAGCCAATACTTACCGATTAGCACGTCATTTTTCGCCTTAAGTCTGGGTCGTCGTCGCGCCGCGCTCGCTCTTTCGCAAACCCAAAGACAACGCGACATCCCGAGCGACAAACCGAACGATACATGGAGTCGCCGGAAACACCCGCTGCGCCTGAGACTGCTGCTAAGAAGCGCAGAAGACCAGTCAATGGTATGCGATATGGCCCCTCGAAATGGCGACAGGTGTGCTAACAGTATTCGTACAGCCTGCGCTACTTGCCGTGCGAGAAAGGTAATGCTTCATTCTTCCATGAGAAATTCTGTTGGATTTTTGGTTTCCAGGATACGACAAAGCAAACTTTACGAAAACACCAGTGCATTGTCATGGTGGTCGAATTACCGGCGTTGCGGTCTTCGGATACCCGGGAACCAAAGAAAGCAGGGTCCACAGAGCTGACGATCTCCAGGTCAAGTGCGATGAACGACCGAATGGCTGCGTGAATTGTGAACGACTCCAGCTAGACTGCGTGCAGAATGGCGGGGTTTCAGCTGCTGCGAAGAGACCAAGTACATCGTACGAACCAGTCGTGGGAATCAAGCGGAAACGGACATTTCGATCTTGTATCCCTTGTCGAGACTCCAAAGTCAAATGCTCTGGCGAACGACCAAACTGCACGAGGTGTCAACAGCGCCGGACTTCGTGTGTTTACGATGCCGAGCAAGTCGAGCCAGCTTGGGTGCAAAGCATTGCGACTCCAGTTTCAGAAACGCATACCGATTCGATGATGATACCTCCCCATACCCCCCAGGATTCTCGAACACCTTCCAGGGGGTACGGTCCGCTATCTAATAGCGAGCCTGTTGTACCAGGGTGTCCACCAGGCCTGCTATGGTATGCTTGATGAATCCACTCAATTGTATTGAACTGACAAAGACATATAGGTTATTCTCACCACAGCTACCACCGAGAATCAAGCTTCATGCGTTGTTGGATGCGTACTTCAACAACGTTCACCCCATTCGGGTCTTTGCGTTCGAGCATAAGCCGTCGTTCATTAGGATGCTAGATGAAGGTCAGCTCGTGGATGCGTCTGATCAAGCCCTCCTACACATAATGTGTGCGTTAGGTGCTCGATTCTACGCACTTGACTACAGTGAGTCGTTCTCGCCATTGACAAAAGATCTGATCCAGTCAGCGGGAAGCCAGTGGGCGAAGTCTGCGGAGGAGATGTTCTTCGCTGATTACAGCACCATCTCCATCACAAAGCTCAAGGTCTTGGTCTTGCTTCATGACCAAGAAGCCCGTAATGGCAACTATGCGGGCTCTTTCCTTCTTACTGGCCTTGTCATACGCATGGCGCACGCTCTGCAACTCAATAATGAGGTATCACCAGACGTCCTTTGTAAAGAGTTAGGAGGAAGTCCAAACGAGGTATCTGTAAGGGAGTCTCGTAGGAGGCTCATGTGGGCGTGTTATATGATCGATGTCTGGGCTGGTAGTGGTGTCGACCACCTCACTATACTCAATGAAAGAGACCTCAAGATCCAGCTTCCTTGCAACGAGCGTCAATTCTCACTACAGATACCGTGTGTCACGGAGCGGCTTGAGAGAGGTACATTACTGGAATTTATGCCTCCAGAGGACATACCAGAGAAACCGGCGGACAACCTGGGTATGGCTGCGTACTACGTACGTATCGTGAGCATTTGGCGGCGGGTCCTACGGTGAGCGGGAAAAGTGTTCTTTCCGGCCTTTTACGCTAACCTGCGACAGATTCGTAAAGCACATGGATGAAGAGCAACCGCCTTGGCTTCCCGGGTCCGGATTCGCCGTTCTCATCGAGGATATACAATCATGGAAGCAAAGTCTGCCGTCCTGGTTAGACTTTTCCGCGGACAACATCTACATCCGACGTGAGACCCATCAGCTAGGTGCACTCCTCCTCATCCACTGCATGTATCATCACGTTATGTGCGACGTACATCGGATCGCTCTCCCTGATTTGTTCAAGAACCAAGAGCCATTCGTTTTCCCCACTGATCGGCAGGCATTCGTCAGTCATCTACAAGATGTCTGCTTTGAGCATGCGCAGCGTATGTCAGTGTTGGTCTCACATATACTGCAGCACGGCGTCAAACACTTCGCGGACTCTATTCTACCATCGTTCGTCTACAACAGCAGTCGCATCATGCTCTATTATATCGCTCGGATCTTGGATGTATCGAAGCCCGATGCAGGAACTGTTATTGGTCGTACAGTCGAGCTAGTGCAGTACAATAACCAGGCGCTGCGGGAAATGGCGTTCATGTATCCGCTTGCTGAATCGTTATGTATCACATCCGAGCGCTGGTTAGAGACTGTACGCGACAGTCTGGCTCGTGGCCACTCTGCTGACTACATCGCGCCTCAGGACCCGTCCGAGAACGAAGCGCGGCGCATTGTCGGCGCTCCCGCACCGACGGCAGGTACCCCTAGGCAACGAAACGCGGCCCTCTCGGTGATCCCTCCAGTTGAAGAGATACTTTCTGCAACTTCACCTTCAACGCTCAGGACGGCCACTACCCGCTATCCCTTTTCGGCGCCGGCTACTGACCAGGGTTCATCTGTAGTCACGTCAGGTCAGGTCATGACTTCAGCGACTGAGAACGCGGTAGGGACTGTATACTCCTCCCCCAATGCGCCCACTGCTTTTGAGCAGCCCATGTTCAACCTCGACGACCTACAGAACTTTTTTGGGTGGGAAGCAAGTGATGATGAGAATGCACAGTCGACCGGATTTGAGGGATTTGGTCCTCTAGGTTGGGCAAATAATTTCTCTATTATGTGAGTGAGAACCTCAACACGAACTTGCTAGGCGCTTGTACGCAGCTCTTGCTTGGCTTCTCACTTCCTAGGCTGGATAAGGTTTGCCTTCAGCCTCATCCTATAATTAGTTTGCTTCCTCGTCCAGATCAATACCAACTTCTCTTCCGCTGGCCCTTTCTTCGGATGAATTCGCATTGATGCATATGACGTTGGCAATGAAGGCCTCACTTCCCTTCCCTTTGAGATTGCTCAAGCCATAAGTGGATTGCTTGAAGCAGGAACTTATCTCGAGTTTATTCTCACTCTCTGTACCGGCCTACAACTCTTTTAAATCGAGGTGAAAGACTTATTGAACGGATCAAACAGAAAGATAACATTCCTTGCAACTAGCATGGTGCGAGGCTCTACGGATCCACATCCCATTCTTCAACAAATATGTCATCAGCTGTGGACTGATCCCAATCGAAATCTAACGTGTCCGCGCGTTTTGGCGAATCGTCAACAACGTCTTCATGTTGCGCACTGGTTGCAAACATATTTAAACTCGTCCAATATGTAAACCTCTTTCCTCCATCTTCTGATATTGCTTCGATCATGGTAACTTGCTTGAGCCGTTGTAAGGTTGGAAACTCAGCGTGGAACCAGAGGCCATTCTGGTTAACGTCGTTCACCGTCGCGGCGTCGAGCCCAATGCTTTTGTCCATGACAGTCGCGAAGACATGGCACATCGAGGCAAAGGCTTTCGACATGTGGGAGTAATATTGCGTTTGCTTTTTCTTGTCTTGCATGATGCATCGTAGGGGGTTGGTGTTCGTTATTCTTTTGCTGTAGTACTGCTTGGGCCAGACATCCTGTATTCAGTCAGAAAGAATCCTGTACGGATAGTAAGTACACAAGTACCCATATCGTTGTCAAAGAAGGCCCTTCTTCTTTAGGTCTCGACTTCGCGTAGCGGCGCGCTGCCCTGCTTAAGCCGCGTGTGTAAAAGAGGCATGACATTGGCTCGGGTCGCTCTATCGCATTCTCGATGAACCATTCGACAGTGTATTTTGAGGGGAGGTCGCATTCAGTTCTACCCCTGGCCTCCAGTTTGTTTCGGCGGCATGATGGTGTGTCGCATCGCTCCTCTCTTTCCACTGGAACAGCTTCAGTAACCAGAAGAAGATGGCAGAGCGTTACAAAGAGGTCGATGAGCTTCATGGCGAAAGTGGAGCGTGCAGCAGTCGTTTCGACGGGAGGTTCTCCATGCGATAAGCCAAGTGGGGCTGTCGAATCTTTATCTCCAACATGGACGTAAGGCCCCCAAAATGGCTGTGACAGAGGCTGTGTTTGAAACGGATAGTGGTGCGGAGATCCTCATCTTGGCGTCAACGGTCAGCGTCAACAAAGCTTTGTACCGTTATATGCAAGCATGGAGATGTGTCGCGCCTCAGGCATTCCAACGGCTATTATTCGTGTCCGTGGTGCTTCACTAGGCGCGTTCACTGCACGTATTGTCGCGGTGGTCAGAGCACACGCGCACATCGTTCCCAGCTATGGAATGTGCCAAGAGCATCATCTCACCGACGAACGGCTAACTCGGACACAACACTGCAAACTGGTGGCGAACTGAGAAGTTGGGAGCTGGGAGTGATTTACTTTGTACACAGCCCAGCCCAGGGACAATGACCTCGGGAAAATCCAGCCCCGCGGCCAAACTAGTCCTAATTAGGCATTATACACGCTTCGCCTTATCAGGCCACCAATCAACACATTCGACGTTCTCTTCGCAATGTCTAAGTTTAGCGCCAGGGTTGTGGCCTCATCTTAGTACGATAGGTGAAGAAAATGTGGCTTCGATGCTTTCCTGCTCGCAAGCAGAAAAAGCCCAGATGAGCTTCATAAAAGCGACCACGGTTGCCAGGGGAAAGCGGACCGTCACTTATCCTAATGGTCTATGTTGAGTGGCCCATACTATTCGGCGAACATGTTTTAGGAATACACAACTCTCGTTACCGTGTGGTGAACTACTACACGAGCATTGCGACAGATACAACCATAACACTATATTCAACCACTCTAGATCACAATAGGTTCTTCTCATGTAAAACATCCCAAACACTACTGACCGCGGCGTTTCCTGAAATGCATCTTTGCACTACCGAATGAGTAGTCCTTTGTTTGCTTCTCCCCAATCCAGTGTCCCGCTATTCTTCGACGACGAGTTCTATCCCGTAGAGACAGACCTGCCATATTGTCGAGCTCATTCTCACTAAATTTCCATGGTTGGCCTGCCACGGCTACAGCTGTCCATTCATGCTGTGGGGCGTGTCCGGTCAGCTCAATTCCGAGTTCCGTCGCTCGCGCATAGTCTCCAGGATGAAATCCGTGCCTCTCTTTGGTACTGCAAGTATCCCAATAGACACTGATAGCGCGTAGCTTTGGAAGATGCGTGGCAAGATCAGTGGCTGGATCATGTATCATCTTTCGCACATAGCCCGTTGAGACCCATTCGGAGTGGACGATCGTTAGCGATCTCAGCGATCTTGGAAAAGATGAGTATACCAGGCCATTGGTACATACGATACAATCCATCGGTAGCGCGACTTCAGGGAGTATCAACGTCTGTAAGTTGTCGAAACTGAGGAATCTCGGTGGGAGCCGCACCATCCTGCGGTACGCAATACCATGACATGAGGATGGCAACTCCAGCTCGGTAAGCCTCGAGTAGCTCTTATGGAACACTTGAGCCAGATATTTGTGTTCCCTCAATAGCCGCGTCGAAGGATCGCCACTCCAATGTATTCTGTCATCAACCTTTGGGCTCATTGGTCCTTGCCATGGATCTGCATCCCTGAAGACCATCGGAAAATGGAATGTGTGGCTACCGCCGAGCAGTAGCGCTTTGAGGTTTGGTAGTATCAGCAGGAGCAAGGCGAGAAATGCGTTGTTGTGACCTGCTCGTAGCGCGTTTTTCCATACCCATTTATTGTTATTGCTAACGCCGTCGGCCTCTCTGATAGCCTTAAGACAGTCCGTTCGGAAGGAGGTATCGGTCTCGATGCTGAATTGTCTGGCCGGCATCTTCGAGTAGTCTCGTCCATCTTCACGTGTTATCTCTCCAGTGTAAAGCAAGTGCTGAATAAGGCGTTCACGTTGGTTGCTCCTAGGCATCCGCATGCACCCATCATTATCGCCAACATAGTGCTCCCAAGAAGCTTCATGACAGGGGTAGTTCGTGATCTCGAGAGACTCGATCTTATCGGCCCACTGTGCGGCTGGAAACTCTCGGAGCGTTCGAAACAAGGCATGTATGTTCGGAAGCGGAACGCAGAGCGCCTTTTGCTCCTGCAAAATACTTCGCATAATCCTGGGAAAGCGAGTATTCACGATGGCGAGAGGTAACAAATTCCAGTAGGCGCATTGGTTAAAGCGAGGTTCGAGTAAAAGATGTTTAGCTATCAGAAGAAGTAGCTCGTCGGGTAGGTTAAGAATACTGCCGTTCGGTGTGCTGTTGGCAAGAGGAAGGGACATGACTGGCAGTTCAGATAATCCAGTCGCGTTACAAAGCTAGTATGGCTAGATAAGAATCGTTTATGATAAGTTTAGTAGTATATGATATAAAAAGGTAGTCGGTAGCTTGAGAAGTGTAGGGTCAAATTGTCGGATCGTGCCTAAATAAAGAAGGACAGTGAATGTTTACACATACGTTGCTCAGCAAACGTGCGTTGTTTGCCTTTTGATAACGTGGATCTCGAGTAGATCAAGTAATTTATATATTCACATGGTTGTTTTCAACAATTGACTAAAGTCGTGGTAAGGCAACCACAGATACGTGACTGGACAGGTGTTTGAGAGTGAGACCAGGAAAAGAAGGGCGAGGCTACCCTCGAGTAGGGATATCGAGGCAGGTGGCCCATGGGCCCAAGGGAGTTGCAACAATTGCTATCCGCTCTTGTTGTATCATAGGTGACACCATTGACGCCGTCTACATGTGTTGTGGTATGACTTTAGGCCGCTTGACACTTGCAGATATTGTTCGATATGTCGCTTTCATCAACCATGATGTTATCTCCTTGGCCGGTTTGGTCGTGGACAGTCTTTTCGATCGCGCCATTGGGTATACTGGGAGTATTGTAGCGGTGACAATGTCCGTGACTCGATCGAGCCTCCGCTACAAGAGGTGGCGGGAGAAAAGAAGGACCCAAAACATGTATACTGAGGTACGACTAGAGAAGACTATCAGTAGAAACAAAGCGCGGTAGAGAGAGTGAGCCCACTGAACGAGTTCGATCTTGATGCCTCTCCAAGCTGCTCTTGTGACGTACCAGCAGACTAGACAAACTATTCATACGAACCTACATTGTCCACTGTGGCCGGTAAATGATTGAAGTTTTCCGATGGTAATATGTATGATTGGTTTCAGTGTGAAGTTTGGTTGTGACACCTCAGTAGGCAACCTTGGTATAGCTCGTAACCCGGTTTGCCGCGTAGCGGTTAAATTCCACGACCAGTCTCTACATGTTTCAACTAGGAATCCCTTGTGCGAAGTATTTGATAGATCTTCTTCCTCAAAAGCCGGTATCGCTGCCGCAAGGGTATTGGTACGCCATGCCCCAGCATGTACGGCATCGGACCGTTCGATGTTTGATTTGATTCTGCGTGCAGCCCTGCTTCGGAAGCACGTTGGAGAAAAGGAGTTGTTAATTCGGGCCGACTCGAGTGTTGAGGTGATCGTTCCCTAACGGTTTTCTCCGCAGGTCAAAGTACCCGTCGATGCAAATGACGGTCTGCAGACACATAGCTGCCAAATTCTATCGCCCCAACTGATACAGTGACGATGCAATCACGTACATGAGCGTGCGATAGAACGCGACGGAATGCATGTATGTTTCACAGTCGCTATGAAGATAAGAAAGCGTCCAGCGAAGAGATGCGTATAGCTCAACACCGATCTATCGTAGCCTTGGAGATGGATGTGGAGAAGGCACGTGGTGTGCGGACGCGTCGGAAATTAACCAGAGGCTTGATTTGTTCTAACAGCGTCAATCCTCCACCAGTTCGGTAAAGCTAGGATAACGGCTGCCATCAGTTCAGGACAGAGAACGCCAAGACCATGCGTCATCGTGGCAGGTCTGGCGCGCGTCGTCATTCGAAGCAAGCACGCTAAGCTTCATCAGCCAACGCTATGCTTCTTTCGACTTCGGGCCAAGCCAGGGTCCAACGTGCCGCCGCGTTGGCTTTCGACATTGGGATTGATTATTACACCACTCAGCAATCCTTGACTCAGGGATACACATGGTGTACTGGCAGTTGCCAAAGGTACCCAGATCACCGAGGTCGTTCCATTGTAGCTTGCTCGTACTGTGACAGACACTCACAGCCCGATGAGCAACGCGGAAAAGGAGTGCTGCTGACCGTGCCCCACAGACAACTGACAAGAAACGAAGACCCGCGCAGAGATTGGCCAATGCATCAAGGCCTTCTGCGCGATCATCGGCTGTACCTGGATTCCTCGTGGCTAATGCAAACTAATCAGGCACTGTTGAAGATATCCACGGGAATCCACTTGGAAGCCGCGAGTCCCGCGCTCAGGCACCGCTGTCTCTGATGCCGATCCCAATCGTCAACAACAGAATAGCCTGAAACGGTGAGCTCAAACTTGAAGGCTCTGTATAGCCACAAGAAGACTTAGAGATTATTTTCCAACATCGAAGCTTCGTTCTGCTTGATGCACCTGGGTGATAGCTCTCAGCACATGTCCTTTCGCAAAAAGAAGAAAAGAGTTAGAACGGCTGAGGAACACTCTCCAAGCACACAATATGGTATCCGTGCCAGGCCTCAAGATACGGTGAGGTTGTCCTCATTACTTCAGCTGAATTCATCCAAACCTGGCATTGCATCTGTGCTGGCAGATCCACCTTTAAGGGACTACAACCACCGATCTGCACCAGAGATGCCGCTTTGCAATGGCTGAGCGCATGGGCCACAACGGTAGATCGACTACACAAGACCTGTAACCAGACTTCGCGCTGTTGATCACTATCCTACTGGTCTTCTCAATGCAGCCAACGGCCATTTACCGGACATTACTACACTGCCACAAGTGTACATCAAGTGGCGTCAGGAGAGAGGTAATGGAAGGATGAGTATATAAGTACTGTCGGTGTTACCATGGAAAGAGACATCATCCATCCAGAGCCTCAGCCTCATCCAACTCTCACGACACTCGTTTTACATACCAACTAATATACACTCTTTCCGAGAACTTTTAATTCTTTCAAGATGCGTTTCAACTACTTCCTCGCCGCTGCCGCTGTTGCGAACGCCGCCGTTATTCCCCAAATCCCCCAGACCAAGGACACGGTCAAGGATGTCACCTCTGGTGTCAAGTCAACCGTCGACGGCGTCACTCTCCCCAAGGTCAACGCCCACGTAGGCCGTCGTGCCCAAGCAAACGTCGGCGCTAAGGTTGCTGATGTTGAGCCCAAGGTCGCTGTCGGTCTAGGACGACGAGTAAACACAGGCGCCAAGGTCAACCTCGAGGGCGTCACATACGACAACGTTAACGTCACCGTTGACAAGGGCATCAACCCCAAGGTCGGCGCCAGCGTAGGCCGCCGCGCCGATGCCAACGTTGATGCTAAGGTCAACGCTTTGGGTCCCTTCACTGCTGATGCTGCTGTCGGCGCCTCTCTCAACAAGCGTCTCGACGCAGAACTTGAGGCAGCAATCGACGCTAAGCTCGAGGCTCTCGGTGTTTCTGCCGATGCCTCCGTCGAAGTCAAGCTCCAGGCTCTTGGTCTCTCCGTCGATGCCTCAGTTGAGGCCAAGCTTAATGCTCTCGGTCTTTCTGTCGATGCCGATGTTGATGCTAAGGTCAACGCGCGCCAAACGATCCCTAACGTCAACGTCCCCAAGGTCGACGGCCTTGTTGGCGGTGTCACCTCCGGTGCCACCAACGGTGTCAAGTCCACTGTCGACGTAAGTTTCATCCATCTCACTCAACTCATCCCTCTAACAATTCCGACAGGATGTCAAGGACATTGATGTCGATGCTGAGGTCGACCTCGACACGCGCCAACTCCCCAGTGTTGATGGCCTCGTTGGTAACGTCAAGGATGGTGTCAACGGCGTCAAGGACGGTGTTACCTCTACTGTCAACGACGTCAAGAACATCGATGCTCACGCCGATGCTCTCGACAAGTCTGTTGATGCTGCTCTGACCAGGCGCCAGCTCCCCGACGTCAACGGTCTCGTTGGCGGTGTTGAGGGTGCCGTTCCTGGCCTCAAGTCTGTCGAGGATGCCGCTACCCCTATCGTCGACGGTGTCAGGGACAACGTCGTTGGTGGTGTTACCGGTGTTGTCTCCCCTATCGTGAACGACGTCAAGGACGGTGTCACCTCTGCTGTCACTCCCATTGTCAACGGCGTCACCGGTGCTGTTGACCCTATTGTCAAGCCCGTCAAGGACGCTGCTACTGGTGCCGTTAAGGGTGTCGAGGGTGCCGTCGCCCCTGTTGTCAGCAACGTTCAGGGCGCTGTTGACCCCGTTGTTAACGGCGCTAAGGGTGCCGTTGAGCCTGCCGTCAAGAACGTCACCGACGGTGCTCTCCCTGTTGTCAACAACCTCAAGGATGGCGTCACCTCTGGTGTCGGCTCTACCGGCCTCTAAGCAACAATGACGACCATGCCACGCGATCTTGCCAGCGTCCATAGCTAGACTGTTACCTGTATATCTTAATCTATATTATACCCTCATCGAAATACTACATTATATTGCTACTATAAAGCTGCTCCCCGTGCGTCTCCGACAATGCATTGCCTTCTCCCACTGTCCATTTGATGGCTTGTTCCATATCGATGCATGGTGTTGTGCCATAACCAAAGTCTACGTATTTGATCTGTAACCGACAGGCCACTTACGATTTCTGCATCGCTCACGTTCTATAAAAAGAAGGAGCTCTTAAGTAACTTATCGCAAGTGAAGGTGAGTCGGTGAAGTTGAAACAGCGTATCGCAGCGTATCACGTAGTTTTAGCTCGGCAACAAGTGAGAGATCCTTGGGGTTGTCTTAGTAGGCATCAATATAAAGTCCACTCGCTTTGGACCTTTATTCCTGACTTTGACTCCATCTTTTTCTTCGACAGCAGTATCTCTACTCTGAGACTTGACGGTATGGATTCCGCGAGCGATACACACAAGCGACCGAAGTTCGACTTTGAGCAGTGAGTCACAGCGAATGTTGAAGGAAAACATACTAAAGCTCGCGGTTCCAGGTTCTCCAACTCCAAGGTGCTATCCGATATCACGATCCGATACGGAGCTTCGGGCGAGCTCAAGTTCGAAGCTCATAGAGTGCTGCTAAGCGCACAGTCTCGTTGATTCGAGGCAGCTTTTACTGGAGGATTTGCAGTAAGTCTTGTATCCCATAATGCAGTACATGCGTTTGATGAAGTACACAGGAGAGCCATGCCAGAGAGATCACTTTGATTGGCGATGATCCCGATGCTCTCAAAATCATGCTCGGCTTCGCATACGATCCACAGATACGCCGACCGGCGGAGTTGCTGTATGGCGCGACCGACACGATCAATCACTTCCTCGGGCTGTATCGTGTGGGCGACAAATACCAATTTCCCGCTTTCTTGGACCGGGTTGACCCATGGCTCACGGGTTGCATGTATGACTGGTTGGACAGGTCTACAGGACCATTCGACAAAGACAGTATTGCGCGTTCCGAGTTTTGCGGCTTCGTCAGAGACATCTATGAACTCGTAGGTTTAGAACATCGACCCAGCCATCCGTTGGTACACATCTTATTGGAACTAGCAACCGATCGGGGTTCCGCAAGCGTTCTGAACAACACCGGAGGTCATCAACCCTTGATAGTGACAGCATTACAGGAAGTAGCTGAGTTTGGGCGGGATGTACTCCTTCATTTGATGGGCAAGACTGGATCCTGGGAAGTAGGTGACAAAGGTGACGTTGTCAGCACTGAGCTGTGCATCGGAGTCGAGCTCGGATGTCTGGTATGTGAAAAATTCTGGTGGGACGTGACGATGGATGATGCACAGGAGCCTAACACAGTGTGCACATTTTGTGAATCAGATCCCTGATACTGGGAAAGGTGGTGGATGATAGGCAGACTGGCTGTACCTAGGTAGTTTTGCTGCTGCTCTTGTGAGGTACGGATGGCATCATGTAACTAAACCCGTTTGAGCAAGCCTCGGTAGTGGAGCCTCCGACGCTAGGTCAACCCTGAGATTTGGCTGCCCGTTTCAACATTTCCCCTCGAATCGCGCTCAATGAACTTGCGATTCTACCAGCACACCATTTTCACGACGTTACGACCCCTTGACGAACATTTTGTATCCTCCGCTCTCTTTTCTGCCTTGTTGAACTGCTAGAGCTGCTTCTGCTGGTTCCGATATAGCTCGGAACTGCCTGCGATATCCCAATAACGACAACAAACACTCCCTGCCACCGTCAAACCTCACCGCCACTCGACTTGAGCTACGAGACTCACTCAGCTCACACGACATATACTCGCACTCGCTCCTTACACCGAAGCTCCCCACCCTCCTTATCCACCTACGATGCCTGAGACAACCAAAGTCGTGCCCCTCACCTGCCACGGTCACTCACGACCTGTGCCACACATCCACTTCTCGTCCCTTGTAGACGAAGACCAATACTATATTATATCAGCATGCAAGGATAACAACCCCATGCTCCGCGACGGAGTAACGGGAGATTGGATCGGCACCTTCCTCGGTCACAAAGGCGCAGTGTGGCAAGCGAGACTATCTTCTGATGCCTCGTTGGCAGCTACCGCCTCTGCAGATTTCTCTGCGTACGTGTTATGACTTCGCGAAATCGGGAATCGTTCTAACGGTTTACAGAAAGGTCTGGGACACTCACACTGGCGAAGCCCTACACACTCTCTCACACAACCACATCGTCCGCGCAGTCGCATTCCCCAACCAGCCCCATCCCCAGATCCTCGCGACAGGTGGCATGGAGAAGAAGCTGCGCATTTACGACCTTTCACGCAGCGACGCGACGAGCTTCGAGATCGGCGCAGGTGTTCACACCGGAACCATCAAGTCGATTGTGTGGACATCTGACCCGAATGTCATAATAACAGCAGCCGAAGATAAGAAGGTGCGGTGGTGGGATTTGCGCCAAGAGTCCACCATCGGCGAGTATGCTGTGGAAGGCACTGTTGGCTCCTGCGAGTTGGATAACACCTCCTCGGATGGAATCTTGAGCGTAGCCGCTGGAAACAGTGCCTACTTCTTCAACAGCCAGTCGCCCGGCTCACTCATCAAGAGCATCAAGACACCGTACGAGATTGCCAGTGTGGCTCTACACAACGGAGAGCGCAAATTCGTTACTGGTGGTAGCAACCAGAACGACACTTGGGTCAGAGTTTGGGACTTTGACGAAGAGAAGGAGCTCGAGACCAACAAGGGCCATCACGGACCTATTTGGTCGGCAAGCTTCTCGCCTGATGGGAAGCTTTATGCTACAGGCAGTGAGGACGGAACTGTGAAGCTATGGAAGTTCACATCTGGACCTTACGGTCTGTGGAAGTAGGATTTCCACACAATACCTATGCTGGTTGTGGCCATCCATGGAGATATTGGCAAGGCGCAATAGTCCGACACCCGAACTAGAGTAAATAAGACACTTGTAAAATCTTTCACCTCGATAAACAATTATGTTCTATCTCATCGAGCTCAACATGCGCTGCACAGATGAGGAGCACCACAATTGGCGCACGTCACAAACAACCATCAGGTTAAGCTTTGCTATCTCGGACTACTCCAGCCAGGGTAACTGTACCCGGGAATTGCCCGATTCGACGTGCCGAAGGATCAACATACCAATAGCATGCGGCAACATCAGCAACCTGCATGATACTACGGCCGCCCTAGGTAGCGATGTGCAACACTCAACAAGCCGATAAGAACACCTTGGCATGATAGACGATAACTCCCTTCACGGCCGTTGCCAAGGGTGGGAGATAGTGGGAACACATAAGTACAGATGCACCATACATCCCGCTGCCTGTGTTACCGTTCAAACGTTGCGACCTGCGAAACCACTGTTGCCAGGGTCTTCGGCTATCTTGCTTTTACCCCACTCTAGTCAACCACTGTATCCGGACTTGGTCGCCAACACTCAGTTTCTCATCTGTGAACGGGCAAGATGGGCGAGAAAGAGAATGATATCTCGCCGGCGCGAGAGGCCAGCATCGATGAGGGGCAACTCGCTGCTGAGAAGCAGATGCGCGACATCGGCGCAGATCTATACCTGGAAGTACAGCAATACTCGAGAGAGGAGCTAGAAGCAGAGCGAAAGATTGTACTTCGGAAGATTGATTGGGTCATTATGCCAATGGTATGTAGATGCCAGCCACTCTCAACAAGGTATCACTAAATAGAAAGATAGATCTGCATGACATACATGATCCAATTCCTCGATAAACTGTCTCTAAACTACGCAAATGCCTACACTCTGACCCCTGACCTCGGCCTCGAAGGCGACCGCTACGGTTGGGTCGCCGCCATCTTCAACTTCGGCTACCTCTTCTGGGCGCTCCCAGCAAACTACCTCATCCAGCGACTCCCCGTTTCGAAGTACACCGGCTCCATGATCCTCCTCTGGTCCATCCTCCTCTGCTGCCACGTCGCGGCCAAAAACTACGCTGGGATGCTCGCCCTACGTTTCTTACTGGGTATGTTCGAAGCGAGTATCAGTCCAGCTATCATGAACATTGTCAGCATGTTCTACCGACGCGATGAACAACCAGTACGCATGTGCGTTTTTCTTGCTTTCAACGGCATGGCGACAATGGTTGGCGCCTTGCTAGGCTACGGCCTTGGTCACGCGCACTCGTCGCATATCAAGACCTGGCAGCTCATCTTCCTCGTCATTGGGCTGTTGAACTTCGTCTGGGCGTGGGTGTTCCTCTGGGTTATGCCTGATAGTCCTTCCACTGCGAAATTCCTATCGCACAAGCAGAGAATCGTGGCGATTGACCGGATTGCAAGCAACATGATTGGCGTCAAGACGAAACAGTTCCAGAAGGCGCAGGCGGTGGAAGCTGTTCTTGATTTCAAGGTCCTTTGCATCAGTCTGATTGGACTCTGCTGCGGCGTAATCAACGGCGGTGTGTCAAACTTCTCATCTTCACTCATTCGTGGATTTGGGTTTAGTGGGATTTATGCTACGTTGCTGCAGCTTCCGACGGGTGCGACTGAATTTGTGGTTGTCCCGCTTTGTGGACTTGCAGCTGGGTACTTTAGGGATACGCGTTGTCTCATCCTCGCCGTGGTTTGCTTGCCGCCGTTGGCTGGACTTTTGGGCATTCGACTCACGCCCTTGTCACAACGCTGGAGTCTGGTCGGGTGCACGTGGTTGCAGTATATCGTCGGTGCTCCGGTCATTCTGTCGTGGAATCTGCTGACGACAAACATCGCCGGACATACGAAGCGCAGTACGGCGAACGGGCTGTGGTTTGTGTTCTACGCTGGGGGAAATATAGCGGGTGCGAATATTTTCTTTTCGAGAGAGGCGCCGAGGTACTTTTCAGCCTTGACAGGACTTATTGTCTGTTACTGCGCGATGGTGGTTATAGCCGGTGTGCTGGCTTTATGGATGGGCTGGGAGAACAAGAGAAGGGATAAGAAGTTCGGTCAAGGAGAAGACGAGCAAGCTATCAGGGATGGATTTAGCGATTTGACGGATAAGCAGGCCAAGCACTTTAGATATGCGTTGTAAAAAGGATAGGTCGGGATGATCAAAACATAACTCTGCCGCGTATATTACAGTACATCCGCACTCTAAGATTCGGAGATTTCGATCGGTTTGACTAGCCGCAACTTAGTTAAGCCTACAGGTTTTGTCCAGGTACTTCCTAGGTATACGGGCCGCTTACTAATAGAAGTCTTGGAAGTTACTGAAACTTAGCAGAGGCCTTTGTCGGATCGTTAATATTTCTATACTACTCATCACTCTAGACTCGTCTGAGTCTAGTCTGCTTGCCCAGACAAGGTTCCTTGTTAGATATTTTGGCTTGGCTAGAGTCACAGATGCTGGGTGCCAATAGTGAGCTAGCAATCCAGATACGATTTGTAAGCCGGAGTAAGAAAGATGTGAGTGAGTAGGTATCAAGCCCAAAGTTTCCGTAGTACCCGCAGGTCTTGCGCGGCGTCGACAAGTATGAGAAATTCACAGCTGCAGTCTAGGGCTATACGCAAACATATAAGGTTGCGAATATCCAAAGAAATCTGGAGATATCGAACCACCACAACTCGTTTGCTCAACCGATACCCTGGAAAATGGCTCAGCCTAAGAACATCCTTATTGTCGGTGGAACGGGAATGATCGGAGGATACGCTGCCCTCCACCTTCATTCTCGTGGCTACGCCGTCACACTTGCTGGTCGCCACCCCGTAAAAGATATCCCGGTTCTCAAAGACCTCCCCTTCATCAAGATCGACTATGTTTCTGGAGAGTACACGCCGGAAATATTCTCAAGCTTCGATAGCATCGTCTTCTCAGCTGGCGCCGATGTACGACACGTCCCACAAAACAATTCTGCGGACGAGTATTACCTACAAGCATCCGAGGCTATAGTGAAATTTGCTCGATCAGCCCGAGACGCCGGCGTTGCGAGATTCGTGCACATCGGCAGTTTCTATCCGCACATTGCACCTCAGCTGGTCGATACAGTCCCCTACGTACGGTCACGAAAGCTTGCTGCTGACGGAATCACTTCACTGGCAACGACTCAGTTCCATGCGTGCAGTCTGGATGCTCCATTTGTCGTCGGGATCGTGCCAGGCATGAAAGTCCCAATGTTTGTGGCCTATACTCAGTTTGCGGAGGGCAAGCTTAGTATACCTCCATCAGCACCTACTGGAAACACAAACTTTGTATCCGTCGAGTCTTTGGCCATAGCGATCACCGCCGCACTAGAACGGAGTGAGTCCGTGTCTGGTAGAGCGATCCTCATTGGGGGCGAGAACCTCACATTTTCGGAGTATTTTGGTCTGTTCTTCTCAGCCGTGAGCAATCATACAGCGATATCCGCTTCAGATCAGGAGCATCCTCTGATGCCAGATTCGTCTCTCTGGGCTGGGCGTAATATCGAAGCTTACGAGCCAGACGCTTCGGATGAAGCCCTCCTTGGTCACTATCGTCGCGAAAGCATTCGAACTACTGTTCAGCGGATAGTCGCAGAATATCGTTCATCATAGTTTGGGTTACAATGGGATAAGATCATGCGGTCGCTCTCCGCTTCCATACTCAGCCCTGACTCTAAGCCTTGTTCCATCAGCCTTGCTCGAGCTGCTCTTCTACGCTAACAATCGCAGTGCAATATGCGATTAGAGCCACCACCGTAGACTTAGATACTGACGCCTCTGCATTATGCACATGCATGCACACACTGATTGTGGACATCTGAAAGCTCAGTGAAGCTAAGAATTGCGGTGCAACAAGCACCCATGACATGCACAAATGATTGGCCCAACGTGCAGTTTGCCCATTGAACACATACTTCTTCGCTTACGTATTCAGCCCTGGCCCTTCAGCCTTGCTTCAGTTGCTCCTCCGCGCTAGAAATTGCAGTGCAAAAAATAGTGCAGCAGCCACAAATATTCTCCTACAGCAGCGGTGCATTAGTGCCTCGCGCATAGCTGCATATACACCTGGGGATTGGCCCAGAACATCCGGCCTGAGCCAAATTCACACTGTATCAGCACACAACGACTGCTCCTCTACGCTAAAGATTGCAGTGCATCTGCAAGTCGACTTCCACCATGCACGACTCACCGATCTGGTCATCCCAACCAAGTGCACCAATGATCAAACAACTCGCGCTGCTGGCCTGTTGTAAACATAGTGACTAGAATTATGTCACTCAAATTATTCATGCCAAACTACAGTCTACCTTAATACTTCCCACTCTCCTTAACCAACCCATTCTTCTCATTCTCAGCCTTGGGTTTCAACGCCCACTCGGGCGCCTCATCAATCTCATCCTCCTCGGCCTTATCCCCCTCCTCCTTAGTCTTATGCACACTACTCGGCAGATGCTCCGCAGGCGCATACACCGTAATCAACTCCAGCGGCTGATCCCCCTTTGTAACAAACTGATGCTGCGTCCCCGCCGGCACAACAACGACATCACCCGCCTTGACCTCCTGATCCTTGCCATTTACCGTCGCAAGCCCCTTTCCCGAGGTAAACAAGAGGATCTGGTCGACGGTGTGGACTTCGTCACCAATTTCGCCGTTGACGGGTACTTCCATGGCGACGATTTGCGAGTAGAGACCCGTGTGCAGGACGGTTCGGAAGTCGCCAAACGACCGCTTTTCAGACATGAGGCCGGGGAAATGCACCATTTCGTGTTTGGGGGGCGCGTCTTCCCGGTTTCCGACTTTCTTGAAGGCTTCCATCTTGGGGGCTGAGGTGTAGAGTCTTGGGGTGGAGGTAGACAAGGATTTGGTGGTGATGGTGGGTGTTGCAGTTCGCTTTGTGAGTGTGGATGTGGATAGGCGGAGAAGCCGGGATGTGGTGTTGAGCATTGAGGTTGTTTGTGTGGTGTATATGTTTTAATGGCAACTTATATGGTTGTTATATGGTATGTCGTTCTATACTGCATCACACATCGCGTCAGCGCGCGTTAGGGATGGAGGTCTAGACTCCATGGTATGCATGACGTCACTATAACGTTCCTTTTGCGATGTACGGGCACATTGCCCCGTTCGGTGCGCTAGGTAGCTCGAGTATGTGCTGATTGGTGGTCTGCCATATATCAGGTCATGGTGCGTGTTTTGAGTGGTGTCGTACCTGATTATGTGATGGTTATGCGACGCAAGCTGGAATCAGGGTGCTAAGTAAACTAACGGAACATGTCCCGCTACATGCTGCACGTGGTAAGACCTGTAGATCACTACTGTGGTGACATTGAGAGGAGAACGATATTTTGATTATAGTTGCAATGCTCAGATATATGAACAGGCGGGAAGTGATACTATCTCCAAGCCTATTATAACCTAGGACCTGGTACACGGCTACATCATGCCATCCAAAGAGCGCTATAGAATAAGTCGGTTTGCTCTCGGATCCTAGTATTGAGCGCGGTGTTCTTGCAAGGTCTTGCTGATACCAAAGTCCAGCGAGCCTGGTGTTGGCATGGCTGTTGCTGGCGGGCTCGCCCACCTTTGCTTCGTTTGTGGAGAAGCAGAAGAGTCGCGTTGCATTATCGCGATTGCCATCTAGAAACTACCAAATAGGTCTGTATTCATTAGACGCGATTGCGGCCAGCGACTTCTTCCTCTTCGAGCTCTCGCTCAACCTCCTCTTCTTCAGTAGGTTTGGGGCTCTTGACATCCTTGGCAGGAACGTCCCCACCACTCATTTGCCATTCCATGAGCTTGTTGAATGCGCCCTCTGGATTTGAGCTGAGCTGCTCGTAGGTGCCTTCTTCGGCTACTCTACCGTCAGCATCGATGCAGATGATACGGTCAGAGCGCTTGATTGTCGACAGGCGATGTGCGATGCTAATAGTCGTATTGTTCTCCTGGAGGAGTTTGTTGAGTGCTTGGTTGACAAGAGTCTCCGACTCGGCATCGAGAGCACTTGTTGCCTCGTCGAGGATGAGAATGTCGGGCTTCTTGATGAGTGCTCGTGCAATGGCGATACGTTGTTTCTGGCCTCCTGAAAGCTGAGTACCTCTGGCGCCAGCGTGTGTTTCAAGGCCGTCGGGCTGTACAGATTAGTAGGAATCTTACATAAGGAGGTTCATACTTACGAAATCGCTGATGAACTGGCAGTTGGCCTTTCGTGCAGCGGCCACAATTTCAGCGCGAGTGGCATTAGGCACACCGTATGCGATATTCTCGGCGATGGTACCAGAGAAGAGCACAGGCTCCTGACCAACGTAACCAATCTTTCTTCTTAACTGCTTCGCGTTAAGAGTGGTAATATCTCGGCCATCGATAGTGATAGTTCCCGTGTTGGGGACATAGAAGCGCAGGAGGAGACTAGCGACTGTAGACTTGCCAGCTCCGCTAGGCGCCACGATGGCCACATTTGTTCCTTGTTCAATCTTGAAGCTAAGGTCCTTGAAAATAGTGACTGCTGGCCTAGTGGGATAGCTAAAAGAAACATTCCTGAACTCGATGGGGCCACGCGCTGACTTGACTGCCAGACCCTTGGTGGGAGATATTGTCGGGTTGCGATCTTGAAGCTCAAAGAGACGGCTGGCAGCTCCAACACCCTTCATCATCTCACCGTAGAAACCAGAAAGACCAACCATACTGGAACCGGCATAGACAGTGTACATCAAGAACGAGGAGAGTTCACCGATAGAAATTACTCCGTTCTTGACCATGTTGCTGCCAACATAAAGAATGGAGATGATGGTCAAGTTGCCCATCAATCCAGTGCTTCCGTAGAAAGTTGCGGCGACCACGGCTTCCTTCTTTCCTAGAGCGAATATCCTTTTGATTTGTCGATTGTAGCGTGATGCTTCTTGGACTTCTCCAGCGAAGGCTTGACTTGTTCTAACGTTACCCAACCGCTCTTCAGCAATCTTAGTCAAAGTTCCCAAGTTCTTCTGAATCTTGCGACTCAAATTCCGTAGCGAGCGACCAGAGAAGAAGGCGACGAGAGCGACGGGTGGGGCAATCAGGGCGAGAATACCAGTAAGCTTCAGACTGACGAAACCCATCATGGCAAAACCAGCTGCACCGCTGACGAGTGCACGCAGACCGTCAGACAAGTTCTGCGTGATGCTCTTTCCAACGATGATGGTATCTGAGCCGAGACGGGAGATGAGATCTCCAACCCTGTTGGCGTCAAAGAACTCTGCGTTTTGCACGAATGTCTTGCGGTAGAGCTGAGATCGCAGGCGAGCCACGATGCGTTCTCCAACAATTCGCAGAATAATGATACGTCCAAAGTTGAATGCCGCGCCAGTTGTCAAGACACCTGCCAATGCGAAGTAGAAGACGGAGGGAGACATGCCAAAGAGTAAGCCATCGGTGTTCTCGGTCGAAGTTGCAGCGTCCAAGATCTTGCCGATTGAGAAAGGTACAGATAGAGAGATGCCAGATCCCACGAGCAGGAACACGAAAGCCCAAGAGAGTACGCCTAGCTCCGGTCGGGCAATCTTGATCAATCTCCAGATTTCTTTCATGCCACCGGGTGTGCTTCCAGAACCAGACCCATCCTTGCTGAGCTTGGCGCTCAAGTTGACCTGCTTCGCCTGCGCCGCCTTCTCAGACTTTGCGAAGCCTTGTTCCTCGTTCTCCAGTTCGCCATCATGCTCTTCAACATCCACGATGCCCTTTTCTTTAATCTCCTCCCTGTATGACTTGCGCTGCCTTGCAGGCTTTGTACCGCTCGATGCTTCCGCTAGTAATCGCGACGTAGTGAACATGCGAGCCGGGCTTGGTACGCCATTGTGACGTGTGGTGCCCGTGATTGCGAATCGTGATATCGACGATGGAGGGAAGAGACATGACACGGCGCTGTTCGGCGACGGCCTAGGTACCGATGCTGTTGAAATTGGTTTGGTAGCGAATGATGTTGATTGTTGGCGTGTTGCTGTCGTCGAGATGCGCGACTGTATTTGTGAGAAGAGGGCGCCGTTGCCTGGGCCGTGCCAGGCCTTCGCCGAGAAAACCAGCGGGCCGCGCATGGCGTGGAATGGGTAGACTGGACGGCTACCGGAGTGTGAGAGCGGATTGGGGCGTTATTGAGGCATTCCACATGGCGATACACGGGCGAACGTGGGAGTGGACGACTTCGGAGATGTCAATCAAAAGTTCGGCGCCGCCCTGATGACGACAGGACTCGCCAAGTGCCGCGGCTCGATCTCCGATATCACCCTGAACTTTGAACCAGGGCACACACAACTCCAACCCTTTTACTTCTGGTACGCAGTGTCAACGATCAAAGTACTGTAGATATTCACGAGGGCTGGTTCTACTTTTTGTTTGCGACTCTACGACGTCATCATCTCGGCATGCTACAGCTGCAGGCTCCTGCTATGTGGGCACCATCAATCCACGATAGTCTGACAACTATACAGGCCTGAGAACAAAAGACATTGGGATGTCACGATCAATGTCACGCTCAGACGAACAACGGCAAATGTGATCGAATAAGAACTTGAGCACCAGCGCCCGGCCTTGCAGCCTATCCATAGTATGACTGGAAAGAGCAAGTGACAACTGAGTCATCTTCACTCACCGTGAGGCGTTCCGTGCACCACAGGATAATATGTAGCAACTCTCCAGGAATATCGTTTCTCGTCTATCCTCTGAGGACTACGAGAACGCGCCTGCACAACTAGAGTACCATCATCAGCCATGGCATCCCCACCCTCTCTGATACATCTAGACGGCACAACTCTCGAAGGTGGCGGCCAACTCCTCCGAGTAGCCCTTGGTCTTTCGAGTCTTACCAGAAAGCCGATACACATTACCCAGATCCGAGGCAGGCGCTCTGGTGGCGGAGGACTGAAAGCTCAGCACCTGACTAGTGTCGAGTGGCTAGGCCGAGCCAGCGAGGCGAAGACCACTGGCGCAGAGCTCAAGAGCAAGGAGATTGTGTTTACTCCAGGAGCCGCTCTTCAAGCCAATAATTTGTTGAACGCTGGTGAGGTGCGGATCCGACAGACGACGCCTGGAAGCGTCAACCTGGTATTGCAAGCTATCCTACCATACATCCTCTTCTCTGGCGTCGAACATCCAATCCGAGTCCGCATAGAGGGAGGAACCAATGTCTCCAATGCACCCTCAATCGACTACACAACTCAAGTTCTTATCCCAATGCTCCAGTTAATTGGCATACCACATGTCGCCATCGCTGTCCACTCGCGCGGCTGGTCACAAGGCAGCGCAGCCATCGGCAGCGTCACATACACCATCACACCTCTGCAGGCCAGACTACCAGGGTTCCAGCTAACCGAGAGAGGAGACATTGTCAGCATAACTGCAACGATCATAGCACCGCGGGATACCGAACGTCAGTTCCGCGAGGAGTTGGACGACATGTTTGAGCGACGAATACTCCGCTGCCTTGGCAGTAACGCCGGTAATGCAGAAATAAATACTACCATCACATTCGAGAACTCACATCACGAGAAGAGATACTACCTTCTCCTTGTAGCGACAACATCTACTGGCATGAGAATTGGCCGCGATTGGCTCTATGGTCGCGGTTTCAAGTCCGGCCTTCTCGAGCGCATCGTTCCCGGTATGGTGAAGAAAGTATCTGATGATTTGATGGCAGATATTGAGCATGGAGGGTGTGTCGATGAGTATCTGAGGGATCAGCTGGTTGTGTTTCAGGCGCTTGCTCAAGGGGAAAGTCGAGTTTATGGAGGAAAGAAGAAGGACGGGGGGTTGCTGGAGCCGAGTCTACATGCGAAGACCGCTATGTGGGTGGCGAAAGAGATACTCGGGGTGAAATTCGATGGAGAGAGTGTATGCGAGGGTGTGGGGTACGCACCTAGTGTTGTGAATGAGGTGGGAGACGATATGGCAAGGAGTTTGGAGGGGTTAGCTGTTTCCTCGTAAGACAATATCAATAAGACAAATGTGTATTGGAGTATCAATCTACATCCCACAAGATCTTACCAACGTGTCCCAAGGGCACCTGAATCTGACCGCCGAATTTAATTTACTACTAGCATCTCCGCATTGACACTATCCCCATTGCGAACCTAGTGATAGAACCTATAAGGAGCAAGTTCAAACAAAGCCCGTTTATACTCTGCGTTAGATAACTTTCCCTTCTACCAGTTGTTAGTTCCGCGGAAATATCAAACGGTACTACTTTGTCACGTTAGAAGCCCCAGTCTGCGACGCTTTCTCAGGCTCAGGAGTATGGTCGTCCTTGCTGGCTGCAGTGGCTTTGTCCGCCTCGCTAGTATGAACCTTGGAGGAACTATGGGTACCAGGTGCAGCTTCAGAATACATGGGGCGCGGAGGGCTATCTGGGAATTGGTTAGTTGCGCACTTGGACGGATGAGGGGTACGAGGGGATTGATGACTTACTCTTGGTCTTGATAAGGTCGGTGTATGAGCTGAGGGTGTCGGTTTCGTGCATGAGTTCGGTGGTATAGGGGATGGACATGATTTAGGAGGGTTCAATAAACGTGTTGAACAAGAGTAGTTGAGAAATATGGTTGAGACTTTGTTATGTTCTTAGAAGTTGATCAAGATAAACGATCTAAAAAGAGGTTGGGGGGAAATATACAGCTGCATATAGTGAAGCTAAGTGCTTGTTTGGAAACAGACTTCTACTGCAATACAATACAGTGTAACTCGACAGCATTGTGCCTGCATTTCATTACCAGCACGTCCATCATATTGATAGAGGTTGAGGGGAAGAGGCGGAATCCCATTACACAAGTTTCACTCCTGGAATTATATCAATCACTCAATATGCTTCCATTCACGCACCTGCCAAACTAGCTTACGCAGCCAAAGCTCTGGTCTAGTACTCCTGTATCGGTTTTGCGAAGACATTAGAGAGAAGAAAATGTCTACCACTTTGGACTTGGTCTACATACTTACATAGCACCAGCTACTATGCAGCTAACGAGGCACACACAAACCCAAAGCATATACAGACCATCCGGAATCTTGTAATCACCGCTTGGAATGCGACATCGACACAAACAATGGTGCGCATTCCCACTTGCAGAGATAAAATCATGGAGTCGATGAAGACTAGTACATGTAGACTTGGGAGTTCGGAAAGTGGGGGATAGAATATAGACAGCAGCCACTACTCTTTGTTCTTTCCCCAATAGTTTAACAATACATGTCCTAGCTAGAGTGGGTCGGCTGTCGGCGGGTGAGTTGACCGTATTACCAGAATGCGATGTATGGTCTTCCGTCATGTTGCAGTGAGAGTTAGTCATGATTACCATAAGCGGTAACAGGCTGTCTGAGTGATCTCACAACCTCCACATTGTCGTGGCGAATTTAATGCCCGAATCCAGGGTCGTGGCAGCTGCGACACAGATCCTCGACTCGTGTGGGGCCGCTAACAGAGCGTTCTCAACGTTCTTCCAGGACGGCGGAACATGACAACAACGCGGACCCTGCGTGTGTTCGCGGAAGTAAAAGGCGGCACGTCAGCCTTGCTGTGGCGTAGTGTGGCATGTGAAGAAACAGTTTTGAGTTTGTATTTGCCAGGCATATCCTTACATGCAGTAGAGGGAGGTCCTGATAGGGTAAATTCTCCCGTAAAAGCCGGTGGCGTTGCATCGACGTAATAGTGCTGCAGTACCAGATCGCGATATTTTGGCGAGAGTGCTGAATGCGATCAAGATGAGGGGAAACATGGTAGAGTTAGTCTCCTCACAGAGAAGCGCGGCCAGAGTCACGATGGATATCTGGCGTATCTGGCGGGGTCGGGCCCAGGGCCGAAATGTGGTTATCAGATGCGATTACTGCCGAGAGACCGAGGGTCGGGCGGCGTGACAGTGGCATGTTACAGAGATTGCGCGATTATGTGGTGAGAAGGTCTGCGCTTCAGCTCGTAGTACTTGCGGTCAACAGTATATTGCGTTGCTGAGTACCATGATCAGGAGATATAGCTGGTACCGAGGGCGCAGCCAAGATAGACGGAAGACGGCCGAATCAAAGCCTCTTTTCGGATAAAGCAGGACAAGACAGGTGGGAATACGAGCGGCTTCGGCGATGGGGCGTGGACAAGCGTCATTCGGCAGAAGTGGGCATTCGGGATGCTCATCTCAGGCTTGAAGGCGTCGTGGATCGGCAGTGGAAAAGCGTCCGGGCTCAGTCGAATATTTGTTCACCACCAGTCCTCTCCTCATGCTCATACCCTCTACCACGGCTAGAACCCGCCTAATACGATTCTATACACAGTCACCATCCATCGTGTCACCAGTCTCGGGCATTAGCAAGCGGCTGTCACTCGGTCGTGTTCGTTTGTCAGCCAGTCGAGGTGAGTGATGGCCACGATCTGATAACGAAATTCGGTGCATCACCAAAGCATCAGATAACCACGCATCCCCCACATGCTCGTTGTCGCACACCTCCGTCCTCCGCGGCTCAACAAGCAAATGGCAGATGCACACCCACATCGCGCCTTCTTGATGCATTGAACACCCCATAGTAATACCAGGTCAGCTCTTGCTAACCATGGTTTGCGCTAGCAGTCCCCTTTGTCGCGTCCTCAGCACGCTCGCCGCTCCTCCTCCACCTCACTCCACCACGCAGACACATGGCAGCCACGACAGCGACAATGCCCAGCCCCATACCACACACGTCGACCTCGCACCCTGAAGACCCCATTCCCGCTGAGCCCAAAGACATACCCCAGCTCTCAGTGCAGCCGTCGCAATCACAGCCAGAGCAGACGTCGCCCAAATCATCAGGCGAGTCGACGCTGTGGACCAACAGCAGCGATGACTCCGAGGCCCCGATGACGCCCATGACTGAGCCCGACCAGGGCGTCGAGGAGGTAGTTGACAAGCTACAGGCGCTGCCTACCTCGGCTGTCAATTTCTCGGAGCAGTCGCGACCCCGGCGAGCATCCACCACTCTCATCTCAGACAACCCAAACGACATTCGACGGATACTGGGTGAGGGCGAGACAGCCACCAAGCTCATTAGCCAGTGCTGTGGCGGAGGATGCTGCCTTCTCAAGACACTGGCCCCGGACTCGTCGTCACCCAATTTCATACCTGTCGTCGTCCCCGACAACCATGCCTTTAGGAGCCTCAATCTCCAACTGGGCCCTCTCGCCCTCGACAGCGAGCTAACCGATACGATTCCGCTGCCTCCAGTCAACATGTCTTTCGAGCCGCTGCCTTCCAAGGACACAAAATATGTCTCAGAGGTGCACAAGATGCCGCCAAAGTACGTTCAACCACACCCGCCTTACGAGGTCTACTCGGCGCCGCTATACCACGCACGAGAGTTGACCAAGCCGGGCGCTGAGAAGAGGACAATTCACTTCGACATTGATGTCACCGACTACCCCGATGAGGGAGGCGTCGATTTCAAGGTTGGTGGTGCTGTCGGCATCTGCCCGCCCAACTCGCAGGAAATGGTCGACGAGCTGTTCGATCTCCTCTGCATTCCCAGGTTTGTCCGCGACAAGCCAGTCACACTCAAGACCCAGACCGGAAGGTGGCCGACCATCTGGGGCGAAGACCAAGCCCGCGAGCTTGTCACAACCCGACGCGAACTCTTGACCTGGTGCGCCGACATCCAGTCACACCCACCGACCAAGAACCTCCTCCGCGTGCTCGCTGAATATGCAGACGCCCCCAACGAAAAGAAGATTCTGACCTATCTTTGCTCGGCCCAAGGACAAGCAGCCTTCTGCGACTTGCGCACAACTTCTCACTTCACAGTCTCACAGATGCTCAGCGCATTCCCTTCGTCGAAGCCGCCGCTCCCACACCTCCTTTCCGTCCTCACCCAACTCATGCCTCGATTCTACTCCCTCTCGAACGACCCCCATATCTCGTCAGCTCGCCCCGGCCTACCCGGCACCCGTCGCCTGATCGAGATGGCCGTTACAATTCACGAAACACCCGATTGGCATGCGGAGGGTGCTACACGTACTGGTGTAGGCAGTGGCTTCATGGAACGCCTCGCACACTCGTTCATCTCAACAGAGAGCGAAGGCGTCGATCCCCGCAGCATCCTCGACCTGCGCGTACCCATGTTCCGCGGCCTCATGGCCAACCCGCTCTCCAAGCAATTTGGTGGCGAAGGCCCGATGGTGCTCATTGGAGCGGGAGTAGGCATGGCTCCGTTCCGAGGCTTCATCCTGAATCGACTCAAGAACGCCAACTGCGCCAACAAGATCTGGCTCATCCAAGGAGTCCGAGACTCTATGCTCGATGAGCTCTACTCTGGTGAGCTTGGCGATCACGAGCGCGAAATCAAGAAGGTTGTGCAGAGCCGAAAGGTGAAGGTTGGAGGCTCCAACGAGGTCAAATACGTTCAGGACGAGGTCCGCGTACAGGCTGATATTGTCTGGTTCGTCATCAATGCTCTTGATGGACGCATCTTTGTCTGTGGCTCTAGTAAGGGCATGGGCGAGGGTGTTGAGGAGTCTTTGATTGACGTGGCCATGCAAAAGGGCCGTTTGAGCGAAGCGCAGGCCAAGGAGTTTTGGGCCAGAAAGAGGGAGGATGGGCAGTACATCGCTGTAAGTACATTTCTAGCACTCGATTGACACATATACTGACAAGACCACAGGAAACATGGTGAACATGCCACTATCTCCGCATTACATTGTAAATAAGAGAGTTACGATTTCCATACTTCACGACCGCGTCTCTCCAAATTCTCGACACTGCCTACCTACCGCTAGCAGCATATTCGCCATGGCGTTTCAGATTCACTAAAAAAAGAAAAAGGGAGTCATTTGGGAATCGATATGGGCGGCAAACAATATAGTTGGAACAAAGCAAAGCATGTTCAATTGTGGTTGGGCTGTTCTCAAGGCTTATTGGCCGCTTTTTTTCTTGGGATTGGACGGGACGTTCATCATTATCATCGTCATCATCATCATATTAGAAGGACATGCGCGCAAGAGCATGGCGTTTGTTTATGGGCAAGGGATAGGGATAGGGATATTTGTTTTTTTTGTTGTCGTCGTTATGGGAGGGATGAGGTGGTATTGGGTGTGCGTTGTTGATGGTGATAGCACAGAGAGAGATAATTGAAGATATTGTTATATACTGAGATCTGGAGTGTTGGTCTTGTTCTATGGTGAGCTTTGTGCAGTTGTTGAGAAAGTGGGTCAATCTCTTACACGTTACATTCATGTCTGTCAATGTTCAATTGAGCTCGCGAAGCGTGGTTTACTACTGTCTTCTGATTGTAACATGACGAGGGATCAAACATAACTGCATATGTAGATTCACCAGATCAGTGTACGTCTCACGTGGGTTTGGTACAGCCGGAGCTTTCCTATCTTGCGGAATGCCAAAATGTAAAAACTCCGCAGCACGTGATCAGGAAGTGTCTCTCACCTTCCTCATACGTGGATGTCTATTTAAGCACTCGAGCGAACGCTAACTGGATGTGGTCTTTGCGCAGCCATAGCAAACACACTGCGCCTTCTTCCTTCTCTCAGCTTCCTAAACAACGCAACCACACGCCCAACACATCATTGTGAGTACCAATACCCTCGACTATGGCAGTCCTGCTCGGACTTCCAAACGAAACCCTTCTTCGCATCTTCAACTACCTCTTACAGAACGTCAAGCATCCCAAGCCCCAAGCCGACCTGCTGAACTTGAGCTTGACATGTAAACAACTGGCACCACTCGCCCGCGAGGTCCTCTTCACTGCTCCGATTCTTCACCCACGTAAGATCGACATATTTCTCGTTACTCTCTTCAAGTACCCGGACCTGCAATCAAAGATCCAGAGTCTCACCGTCGAATCGAACAAGGTTGACGGAAACTGGGTGGTATCAGACCCTCTCCGTGTCCTCGCTCAGGACTCAGAAATTCTCTCCAGATGTGCTGGCATTCTTCGAACTTCGGCTCTCGACGAGGAGATTAAGCAAGAATACACTCGAGTTCTTCAGCGTAAGTCTGGAGGGTTTGGCAACCTGATTGGCCTTGTCTTAATCCTACTACCGAATCTTTCCTCACTGTACCTTGGTGGCACTCCACTATCCTACGTCAACTTTCTCCAGCCGGTCTTGGATCAGAATTTAGACCTATACCAAAAGTTTTCTAGGTCGGATCACATCCACATCTCATCCCAAGTCAGCGCCAAACTCACTTTCCTTGAACTACCCCGTGGCTTGCAACTTTGTGGAGAGGCAAAAGGATCACTACCTACCTTCTTCCCTGAACTGCGACATCTCATACTGCCATATAGTTCCGTTATAGGCACCACACCTGGGGGCATCACACCTCAATATATAATTCCACCGAAATTGGAAACACTGGTCCTAATAGGATGCTCAAAATATGCGGATGTTTGGCTCAACAAAGTAACACTGGCTCACGGGACTTGCTTCCCGAGCTTGCATAGCTTGAGCACATATAGCCGAGGTTTCCTAACGCAGTATCCCCTGTTACTTCGGGATGAAATGAAGAGGCTAGGTATAACGTGTAAGTCATTCCTTTATCCTTCTCATGTGACTTACAGCACTGTTGCTCATGGGACTTTTTTGCTGACTTCAGACGTCTTCAATGACGGTTCAGTCTACGAATATGTTCCAAAAGAAGATAGTTGGCCTTTGTATGAGTTGCACCACCCATGGTTGTACACTCGGGTTGAGCTTGATGCTTTCATGTCGATGAGATGTAGGGAGGAGATGGAGAGGTCAAAAAGGGGAGAGTGGGAAGTGGAGGAGTCGGAAGGAGAAGAGTGATAAGATGCAGGAAATGGGACAGAACGAGACTGGTAACATGATTTTGTGGAGGGAAGTGGAAGGTGTGCGAGCCCCCAAAAGGTTAGGCCAGATTTGCACCCACACTTGTTGTGAGGCGATCGAATACGCCATGTCGCAAGGCTGTCTTCTCATCTGACAAAATAACAAAATACACCCGTAGTTGCGGACATCTGCTCTAATCCTATTGCCTGTACTGATACATCCAGGAAGCGCCACTTTGCACATCACTACCCAACGCCAGGCCAACCTGCATACAGTCAGTGAAAGCGTCCTGGCATCATCATCGGCACCTCTGTGAAAAAACTTACTCCAGACGGTCAGCCCCTCATTAACTTTGGCCACATTGACTCTATCCCCCACCCTCCACACCTCCTCCGTCTTCTTTCCATTGCTCCCCCAGAATCCATACCGTCCGAAAACCGGACTCCACTTTGCCCCAATATCAACCCTCCGATCCTTCTGCAATCTCTTCAGCACCTCACCCGCCGGTCCTTCTCCCGGCTTACCCGTCTTATGGTCGATATTAATGCTCTTGCACCTCACACAATTATGCGGCAGGATGATTTCCGTTCCCCCCTTAACCGTAAGCTTGCCCCAATAGTCTTCCTGATACGGGTCATAAGCACCTTCGACAACGACGTTTGGACGGAACTTTTCCATATCCATATCCATACCCTCTGGAAGCCGGGACGACACATCTTCAAGACTAGTTTGGGAAGTAAACAGATAAGGCGCACAATCCGCAAAAGTAATCTTCCAGCTCTCCTCCCCAGATTTATGTAAACCCATTACTTTTTCCACATAGGACTTTGTAAACGGGACATGTTTGCTCAGAAACCGGGTTAGCGGATCTGGTTCCAGCGGTTGCATGTCCTGGAACTTTACGTCGCGGAGATTGGCGCCTAGGTAGACGAAGATGACGGGATACCCGAAGCAGGAGGTGAACCAGTCGTTGTATTTTTGCGGCATGCGATGGGCGGTTGTCGGGGCTGAGTGCATGTTGATGTCGATGGGATCGAGGTTTTCCGTGTCTGGCTCCAGAGGTATGTCGATTGATTTTTCTTTCGAGGCATCTCCGCACGCAATGTATTTGACGGTGATGGTGTCGTTTTTCATCTCCTGGAGAAATTGCGTCATTTCGGGGTAGCCTGCTACGGCCATGTTTTTGTAGCCGTCTTTGGTTTCCTGGAGGAGCATGAAGGAACCTGTGGAGGTGTTAGCGGTTTCTCTTGTTGTTGTTAATTCCATCCCGCATGAATGGTAGTGTGTTGTACGGTCGTGTTTGAATCCATGGGCTGTGGCAATGGCTTCTGTGACTTTAATCGCTCGTAGCGATTTGATGGGGTAGATGTACATCTGAGAATCGCCATCATCAGTACTTCTCTTCACTTGCGTCATGTCTTTTTCCATCAATGTAGACATACCGCGGAAATCTTCATAGCCGTCAACCGATGTATCAACGGACTAAGGAAGTTGAGTAATTGATACAGGCCAAACGGCACAACGCAAAGTGCCGTAATGAGCCATATCGGCGACACCTTCTCAATATTGAACTCGTGCTCTTCCTCCATACGGGCAAATCAGACCAATGTTCTACGATGGAAAGAATTGAGAATGGAAGATGGTCTTTGAGACGACATTGCGGGTCGCGTCGACATGCATTGAGGCCCACCCCACGTGCACGCCTTACCAAGGCGCTAAGACATGTCGACTACCTCGGCCGTCATCTGTCGATCCTTCAATGACATGTCACAACACTTTGGACATATGTTCTCACGCCTTACCACGGTAATTGCATAATTACTGCAGCTCAACGGTTTTGACTGAGAGTTAGATTGTAAAGTCTACGGCGCAAAACGATACCCGAGACACATCTTTGACGACCGCGTGACTGATATACTTCTCCTTCCATCCACCGAGCCTACCAACCTTCAACCTCACTCTCAAACCCTCTTTCCAAACACCCTAAACCGCTTCACACCACCATCCGGGATGATGACCAATTTGGCATGCGTGTACCCCCTCCCCTTGACCTCCTTGAGCTCAGCCTTGTACTCCTTCTCCACATCCGGCCCGGACCTCTGCGGCTCCAGCACCTCAACCCACCCCGCGTCATCACTCGCAGGTTCCTTATCAAAGCTACCAGCAAAGACCTGCACCTTCTGTGGGAAGTTACCTCTAAAGTGCGCAGTGTCAATGACAATGTGATCGATTTCGCCCTTTGCGCCTAAGCGCACGATTGTCCAGTCAACGTGCTCGCCGCGCGTACGCTTCGTTTCCCACCCGTCGCCCATGTCCTTTCCGCGACCGGGCAGGAGTAAGTTGTCTTTTGTGCCAAAATGTTGGTCTGAACATGACGTTGCGACGCCGCCCATGACTGTGGCCGAGAGTTCAAAGACGGCATCGGAGGACTCTGGGAAGACTGGTACGGCTACGCCGTAAAGCCGGAAGCGCGCGATGCCGCCGTCAGGGTACATGAGCAGCCTAACGTGCGTGTACGCCTTGTCTGTGATGCTGTCTAGTTTCCAGCCATGCCGTTGGCTGGGTCCGCACTCTTGCTTCGATAGTATGGTTTCCCAGCCTGCATAGCTGGCCTTTTTTACTTCCTCTTCCTCCTTCTCGTCTGTGATGAATGCACCTTCGACAGCGATTTCAGGGGCGTGGTTCCCGTTGAATGCAAAAGTGTCGATTTCTACACCGGCTACTTTTCCACTGGCGGTACCTAGCCTCAGGACGACCCAGTCGAAGGGTTCGGTATTGTGACGCCGGGTCTCCCAGCCATCGTACCATGCTCCCGAGTGGACGAAGACACCGGGTTTGCGAATCGGTGGTGTCGGTGTGATAAGGTTCTCGGCTGCGGCGAACCATTCGTCGCTAAAGGAAAGGACTTTTGAACCAAGAGGTGCGGATATGAGATCTTTGAGGGGTATCAGCTTCTTATGTGGAAAAGTATGGAAAGAATGAGGTTTGTACCGGTGTATTGTGATTTGAAGGTCGCGTCGATCTCGTCAGCTGGGATCGACCGCGCGTTGTTTGTGGCTACGTTCTTGACGTCTTCTGGTAGGACGTTGCGGATCTCCATAATGTCTGAAATATTGTGTAATTGATAGAGGCTGGGTAATTTTATGCAAGAGAATAAAAAGCAAAGACGATGTTTGGGGATCTCGCTGAGGTACTACCAAGTTATGGCGGGGCATCACTGGTGGGGTAGCTAGTTACCCTGCATGCCCTACCAGCAGACTGCTGCTATCGGAATCCGCCGAGCGGATATTGAAGGGGCCGATCGCGGAGTAGTCTTGATAACCTAGATACCTGCCTTACTCGATATAAATGACAGTCATGCCAATCCATTGCCTATAGAATGTTGAGGCTTTCTCGCTGCAAATTGTGCCGATGCTACAACAAATTTGCTGTTAGCCCGACGGGCCGCACGATGTTGCAACCCGACGTACTGATATGTGACTCGATAGGTTGTAGTAATGGTAAACAGATCTATGCATACCCTGATACTATGGTAACATCCAAGTTCTGCGCTATCGCAAGCCTCGACCACCCTAACTGAATCTGCAAAGCTTTCACGGTTACAGCCGAGCCAGTGTCTATATCATCAGATCGGACTGTATGCCGAAGCGTAGTCGACAGAACTTTTACTTGGTCCATCTGGCGAATCACATGCCGGGAATGTTTCCAGTCCACGAACGGCAACGCGACGATAAACTCAGCGGTCAGCAACAAGGCCTCGTAGAGCGGAATTTGAAAGAATTTGGTCTTCGTCTTGGCCAGGCAGTGTGAAAGTGGCTATCCAAAGTCTCAATTAGCAAGGCTCTCAATTCTACCAATCTTCATCTTCACCCATAGCTTGGATCGTTCCAATTCGACTCCGAGTAGTAAGATCCACCATTTTTGTTGTTGCCTCCATTCAAATCCAGCTTAGCCATAAACTCAGGTGGAACGGTGGGAATGTATTTCCGCTCACGCTCTTTGTTGACACCTCCAAACCCGGCACCGTAGGTGATGAGCATATCTGTTGATGTTGGGAGCGAAAATGGCAGCATGTACGAAGGGTCCAGGAGAAGCTCATCGGGTGCTTCGTCTTTTTCATCCTCTTCCAACGACATTCGTGAAGGCGCAGGCGATGGCTCGGGAGGCTTTTCAGAGGTGCCTCTGACTGGTGTGGATGGAGGTTCGGCCTGTGACGGTGGATTGGGCGATCTTGCGCGCGCGGCTTTACGATCTGCAGCTGCTTTCTGCAAATGTACAATGTACTTGGAAGCGCTTTTAGGAAGGGTCTTTTCACCCACCTCGGGTCGGTAATATTTTGCGGTGTGTAGTAGCTGTTGAGGTGACAGGCGTGTCAATTGTTGTAATGTCCCCACAAGCGACTCTAGGTCTTCTCCAAGTGAGGAAAAGCATTGTAACCATTGGAGAAGCTGCACAAGAGGCTCGAGATGACGTTTAGCGGCGTCCGCGGTGTTCTCCCCGGTGGAGGTCATGGAGCCGTTCTCGTAGTGTTCTGGTTGCCGATTGTTGGAACGCGCCCAATCCTCGAGCGTCGAGACGTTCATGCGTATCTGCATTGCTTTTGTTCGCGCGAGGTACTTTCGATTCGACATTATGCGGTTGAAGACTTCGGCAGAGAGCCAGTAGATCAGCTGCGACAGTACCTGCGCAGCGATTACAGAGTGTACGTCGTACAGATCGAGAACAAATAGGGTTGATGAGAGCAAAGAGGTAATGTTCCGGGGTGATGGCTGTGCTCTGCGCTTGGGAGATGGCGGTCGGAAACGTTTCTCGAGAGGTTCTACCGGCTTCGCTTTAGGCTTGGAACGAAATATTTTCCATTCGTGCTGGAACTGTACATCTTCGAATCCAGGCATCGGCTCATGGTCGAGCATAGCTTGATCCAAGTTCTTATCCATCCTGCGCTCAGCATCACGGATAATCAAGATGAAAATCTCATTGATAAGTTCTGCCATCTGCAATTGGAACTCTGTAGTCGCACTCATGAGTCCACCATCTTTCTTGAGGTAATGCAACAGAAGTGTCGCATTAGACATCCAGAAGGCCAGCACAGTCATGTCCCATTGATGCTTCTCTACAACGTCGTTGATCTTGTTCATGGCGGACACCAGCAAAGTCTCCAAGAGTTCTGGATTTGCATGGTAATGTGCATAACGTGCACTCAGGAAGAGTATGTTTGCAGGTACTGGCTTTTGCGAAGGAGACCGTTGCGGCGTCATATTCGTAATGATGATGTCCAGTATCCGTTCGAGCTCGTTTTCTTGGAACACAAACATCTGGTCGTTGAGACATCGATCCCAGATGAACTCTTGGGCTTCTTCTTCTGGTTCTTCAGGTGACTGGGGCTATTAGCGAACATTCAAGGAGTGGCTGAGATTCGTACCTCGGGCTGTTCGTCCAGACCCAGATTACCGATATCAACCTCGAGATTGAAGGCGCTTTCCATCATCATCCGCCGCTTCATATCGTTCTCCTGCATCTCCTGCTCAAAGCGATCCTGGGAGAAGCCCGAGCTGTAGAAGTCGTCACCTACGCCTACATTACCGATGGCGTACCCGCTCTCGTGCAGATAATCGGAGAGCTCAGTGTTGGGCTCGACAAAGTCGAATGCGGTCCGTCCTCCAGAAGACTTGACGTCTGTCGATGCGCCGTGGTCGAGCAGGAGCTTAACGATATCCTTGTGTCGGTTCGTCATGGCCCACATGAGCGGCGTCCAACGGTTCTTGTCTTGCAAATCGACACTCGCGCCCTGCTCGAGCAGTGTAGCTGCCACATGTTCGTGTCCAAAGCAACTTGCGTAGACCAATGGCGGCGTGCCCTCGGCGTCGACGCCGTTGATGTTGATGTATTCGCGAGCCTTGCCGTCCAGCAGCCGTTTTACCCGTTCGAGCTCACCGTTGGATGCTGCTAGTGTAAACAGGCCTTGTAGTGCTTCTCTCTTTTCCTCGTGTGACAGCTTCTCATCGGCAACGACCTTTGCTTCGTCGCCTGCATTCTCGTTCTTCAAGCGGGCCTGGTGCGCCAACATCTGCACCAGGCGGCTGTCGCTGTCCTCGAGCTGCTGCATGTCTTCGTCACCAAACGTCGGGTCGTCGAGCGACAAGTTGAAGTCGAGCGGACGGGCGGGCATGGGCGTGGTGAGGAATTGCGACTGGCCTGTGTGAAGTCAGTCTCGGTGGCGCGTCGCTCTTTCCCTAGCGGTTGCTTTCACCTACCCTGCCATGCATCATAGATCTCGGTTTCCTCGTTCATGATGGTCACTGGGCGCCTGTCATTGAGGGAAGTGGGCAGGTCCGAAGGCAGCTGTCGCGGCCGCTGCGGCTCTCCCAGGTCGCCCGAATAGGCATGCTCGTGATCGGGAGAGTCCATTGTGTGACATTGAAATGGTGGATGTGCAAGGGTGTCTTGAGGGCGACCGACTACCTCTTGCTCGGATGCATGTGTCAAACGTCGAGGGATGCCGTGTCAAATGTCGAGGGATGCCCGGTCCGTCTGTAGTGGGGCAGCTTCAGTGCAGCAGTCGCAGGCAGGCAGGCAGGCAGGGTGTGGTAAAGGAGCGGAAGCCAGTCGCTGTGGATATTGTGACAGGGCGTCTTCTGCGTGCGCCAGGGGCGTAGTATAGTAATAATGCTGTGTAGGTATGCCGATGCACACGGCACTACTACTGTCGTAACCCACGATGATGTCGCTACCAATGGGTGACGCGCCAGGCCGATCTACCGCTACGCCAAATCAAGTTGTCCCAGCGTGCGCGGGGCCAACTCCGCACGTCAGCCACACATGGCACTCGTGATATTTG